ACATGGCACCAGTCAATGAAATCCACAACAGTTAGTCTAAGCCACGTAGGAAGGTGTCGACTTCCTGACTGGTTGGGGTCCTCGGGATGGTAAAAACCAATGGTTGGAAACAATTGGTGACATGGCTCCAAATCGTTCTCAATGGCTGGCGCAGATGCATCCACTCCTTGTGACTTATGATTTCCAATGAAACTTTTGTTCTTCGTCATTACTATTCCTTTGTCTCACACCTCTGTTTACTGTCTCTAATATGCATTTCTCCTACTTTCTTCTCTTGCTTTGTGTGCTACATGAAGGGAGTGTGGCGACTTGAACTGCTGCACATCGGTGCAAAGTTCTATGTCGAAAACCGACCGACCGACCAGGTCCTCAATATTCCCCATATTCTTATTCCTTCTCCAGTACATTTCCATTAACTATGATTTCGAATTTTTTTACGTCATGTGTGTACGGCAACTTGGACTGCTGCACTTCTCTGCAAAGTTTTATGTCGAAACTCAGTCCGTGAATTAAAATTGTAATTCCTATCGTGTAAACTCTGTTGATCGGTAAATCAATCAGGCAGGCAGTCAGTCAGAGTTTCACAGATGCTCTAGTCATGTAAGTTGACGTTGAACTATACATATAGTGGCATTCGGTCTTTATTAATTACATTTGCTTACAGTTATTCTGTTTGTCTGTTAGTGTTAGCTAATGTGGCAGATTCGATGGACCTCATTTTAGTATTAGATGGTTGGAAGCAGTCAGCAGGAAGCCTTCGACTTGGGTTTCGTGCTAGCTGGCAGTCACCTGTCAGCAAGGCGTATCTGCAACCTTGAAGGAACTTATGTCCCTTCTGAGATTCCAACCCGCGTCAGCCAGTGCTACCAGCAGTCAGAGACGTTACCACTGAGCCTGAATAGCTCAGAAAAGACCTCATTTTATTTGTGGTTATTTCTACTAACTTTGTCATAAGCCGCCCCAGTCAGCAGGATTTTGTTCTGGATTAACTGTGAACGCAAACACTGTGTGTGATGCACATTCTTGTTAACCACAATGAAATCAGAAATTTCACTATTTACGTAAACTAATAAAAATTTTGTTGAAACTTTCATTCAATTCTTCCCATTAATAAATTTTCATAAAGCAATAAAGACAAATGTACCAGGATAATCTGAGCTCATGTTTTTCTTTTTATCATTGCGTGGATTTTTCTCAACTGAACAACAACCAACCTGAACAATACCAAATTTATAAATTAAATTAAAGATCTGTTTCTACAACGATAATGAGTAATTGATTGGAACTGAGAGTAACATTGGTCAGGAATGCTGTAGTAGGTTGTCGAATAATTAGGAGGGAAAAGGATCGACTATTTAGAGAAGAGTTGCATGACTTAGCTTGGAAACAAAAGGACAGACAGAGTTGAACAGATGTTTTGTGGGTAGAAATAAAGTTTAACTAGAAGCTGTATAAAAAGAGCAATAGGTTAGGTTGACGTGGTGAAATTTGTGTGCTTTGTTATCACCAAGACAGTGCGAGATTCACCACTGTCTCTTTCTGCGTACATAGATTTGGTTTTAGCCGTTTGATGACGATTGTTGCCTCAGCAAAACGAAGCAGGTTTCTGGGTTCATTTGTCTGTTTATTGATTATTTTTAACACCTTCAGACTGTCCACAACATGGCCAGTGTCTAGTAGATGGCGTGCAAGCAATCACACTATTTAATGCTTATGGGCCCTTTAGTCTCAGGTTCTTTGGTATGTGTTCAGCGATGCGGACAGCAACTCTTCTCTCTCTCTCCTTCCAATGTATGTGTACAGGTAAATTGGTAGACGCAGTTGGAGGTAGATGGCATAGCGGTTTGGACGCTTGCCAACCATGCACATGGTCCGGGGTTCGATCCCCGGCCGACGCACTCCTTTACCTAGCTAAGCCAGAAATGATGCTGGTGAAGAGGAAAGGTTGGGCATGAAGCTAGCAACCCCACCCTGCAAAATAAACTGCTACAGAAACTTCAAGCCACAAGCTTGAATCCCTATGTTCCAATGGGGAATGTGAAGCAAAAAACATGAGGTGGGGGGTTTGTCCACTTTTGACTGTCTTAAACAACAGGTCGTTTGATGAACACATACAAACTTGGCAGCTGGATATGTTGTTTTCAGGGCAGCGTTCAGTCTGCATCTTATTCTACTGGCAGTATCTTTACCTTTGAAGGCGAGCTGTAGAAAGATGGGTTTTTTCTCTACTGTGCTGTACTTCACCTTCTCAGGATTACGTTTTCCATGTTAGTCGATGAACTTCTGTGGGTAACCATTATCAAGCAGGCATTTTTCAACAGTGGCTACTTCTTCCTCCACCTTTTCTTCTGAACAAAGCTTCCGCACACGATCAAACAGTGTTCTCACCAATCCCTTTTTGTAACTTATAGGACAGAAGCTTTTCAATTTCACGTAAATCACCCTCCAGGTCTCCTTTCTATAGATGCACCTCGTGATTTTCCTATCTTTATCACGTTCGATGCCAAGGTGGAAAAATTGAAACTTGTCCTCATCTTCACAGCACTCCATTGAAAACTTCATACTTGTATGAGCACTATTCAGCACGTTTAATATTTGAGATGCGTCATTAAAACAATCACAAATTGTAAATGTCTCATCGAAAAACGTGGTACAGAAGTCTGTCTGATCGATTGCGGCCTTCATTTTTGTTTGTTCCAGGTTGCCCATAAAAATGTCTGCGATAGTCGGAGCCAGCGGACTTCCAATGCGACTCCATCAATTTGGCGGTACAGAACATTGTTAAATTGAAACTGTATAAAGGGGCTAAATTTGTTCATTGTGGCTTCCTAGACTAAACATCTGCTCTTGACTCGGTCCCTAGGGACATCTTATTAAATAAACTTGCTGCAAGTCAAACAGAATGTTGGGCTGTTAACTGGTTACATTCCTATTTCTCAGAAAGAAAGCAGTACACTGTGTATAAAGGGAAGTCTTCCACTTCATTGCCTACTGAAGCTGGTGTCCCTCAAGGCGCTGTCCCTTCTCCTTTTCTTTTTTCTCTCTTCTTACATGACTTGCCTCACTCTGATGAAATGAACTTTGTTAAGTATGCCGATGATCTAACTATTTCAATGTCTGTTAACTCCCAGCTAGATTGTACCAAAATAAATAGCTTTCTATCGGGAGTCAGTAAATGGTCTGAGTCTAACGGTCTTAAACTGAATCCTTCTAAATTTCAAACTGTTAATTTCAGCTTAAGATGTAAACGACAGTTAAAAGAGGCCGTCGATTCTCATGACAGTTGTAAGATTGATGACAATGATATAGGAATTAAATCAGAAATTAAGTATCTTGGACTTATTCTATCTTCTGATCTCTCCTGGTCTTCCCATGTTTCAGCAATCTCCAGTAAAATATTCCGCCTGACATTTTACATTAAGAAGTTAAGGCCCTCGGGTATAACTCAACCCCTCCTCTTACAGTTCATAAACTCTTGCATCCTACCTATTCTTCTTTATTGTTCACCGTGGTTTGCTTAAAAAGGACTTTGTCACAATTCGTAGAATGCTGAAGACTGTCAGTAGGATGAGTGGTGTCCCAGTGGACTACATAGTTAACGTCGTTGTCGATAGGCTTTGACTTCGTGCAGTAAATTTGCTAAAGGGATTTTGTCTGACTTGGAGCATCCCCTTTACCCTCAGCTTTCACCTTGCATCTCCTCAGGTAGAACAAGAAGTAACTTCAGAAAACTGTATGCTCGCACGTCTAAGTATAAAAATTCTATGATACCATACTTGGCGCGTATTTTATATCATGAAAATAGCATCAGGCAAGAATTGACTAACCTTTTTTTATCTGGTGAATAATTAATTTCCTCCATCCATCCATCCTTATATACTTTCAAGTTTTACTTTTATGATTTCTATCATATTTATGGTCCTGTTGCTTCTTTGTTTTAACTTTCATAACTGCAAACACCAACTTATCTCTATGACTTCTGTAATCTTCGTTTTTCCCCTCACCATATCATGTAAAGAGAGCATTATATTCAATACTTTTAATCATGCTAGGATTTGTATACCGCATCGACAATGCTGTGTGAAACAAGCCCACGGCAATTTCCACTTGCATTAGCTTTACTACCTTAGCTGTTATCATTATTATTATTATTTCCATTTTATATGCTGCATGTTTTTTTCTTTTTTTTTTGATATTACCCCTATTGTAAATGTGGAAAGTTTTCTGTGTGATTAATTTTATTTATAATTTGAGGAAATTAGATGCAATATTGTGATTAATGCTGAAAATTCCCTTCTGTATCACAAGTACTGTTTTTGGTATAAAGTAAATCATTATTATTATTATTGTCCACATATTAGCAGCAGTTGTCTGAGTCCATTCTTTGGCAGAGGAATAAGACAGTGGTGAATCTCTCACTTTCTTTGGTAATAACAAAGCACACAAATTTCACCACGTTATCTTCTGTCCTGTTAAGAAAACTTGACTTTTTCGTCTAAACATGACTCATCCTACCCCCCCTGCCCACCCTTTTTATCTACTTCATAAAGACGTGTTTTCCGTGGTTACCTAACCTAACCTATTACTTTTTTTATACTGCTTCTAGTTTAACTTTATTTCTACCCACAAAAAATCTGTCTGTCCTTTTGTTTCCAAGCTCAGTCATGCAACTCTTCTCTAAATAGTCGATCCTTTTCCCTCCTAATTATTCGACAACCTACTACAGCATTCCTGACCAATGTTACTCTCAGTTCCAATCAATTACTCATCGTAATTTAGCTTAATTTGCGATTTTGGTATTGTTCAGTTGAGAAGAATCCACGCCATGATAAAAAGAAAAACATGAGCTCAGATTATCCTGGTACATTTGTCTTTATTGCCTTATGCAAATTTTCTCTTCAATCATTCTCAACACATTCAAAAGTTTAGTTGACTTCTGTGTATCTCTATCTCATTGTTATTTGATGCAGTGAAAATAATATTCCTTCATTTGTTTTTAGAATGCATTCCATCTCTCCGAAATCAACAAAATCTTTTATGACAGTTTACGTTTGGTCGGGCAACGTCAGTGTACATTCCATGGTGTTAGTGCACTCAACGGGTAAGTCGACGTTTGTTCCTATGTGCATTCTGAGTAAAACTCACTCAATAAACTATTCATATTATTACATAACTTCTTTTTTGACATATGTTTGTGAAAACTCATCACCTTTGTTACTACCCTAATTTCATTAACACCCAATTTTCTTGACTGATTTTGTATTACGTAACTCCAATTACCAATCTTCACATGTTTAGTTAAAATAACCATAACCAACAATTGTATTTTTGTTTGATAAACTTAATGTACACATACATACAAAATAACCCACATATATATATTTGCGACTGTACAGCTAAGGAAATGAATTCGCCGCCGAAAAGAGACTCTTCGCTGATCTACGTGTTTTGTTTTCATTAACTCTTTGAAAACTCATATTCTTTTTCCAAACTGATGCACACGAATCAAAAAACATTAGGCGATCAACATTTCGATTGATTCCAAGTGAAATACTGAATTGGTTCGTAGGAAGCATCAGAACTAACAAGTGTTAACCATAGTCAGACCGAGAGGCCTAGCATTATGGACACCACAAAAATCGTATAGTCTGTTAGGAAGCTGAGATATTTCTCGGACATTCGCATACCGAAGCAGATAGTTGTCTTAAAGAGTTAGCCCGCCGCCGCCACCCTCTCCCCGCGCGAGACTTTCACCTGAAGTCTGTTCTACAAGACAGTCTAACAACGCCGAAAGCTACGTTCCCATTGATTCCGGTAACCAAAACAGGTTCATACGCCATCCGATGCGTTCGCATTCTGCAACCCGTGTACACCATATGAGGTTTGGAGTCAGGGTGTTTCAGTTCCCCTAGGTGGACAGACCGTCATGTCGGTTGTCAGCCTCAGTCGTTGAGATTCACCCTTTATCTTCTTTGTGAGGAACACCCTTGCCACGTTAAGTCAGTGAATAGAACTTACCACCTAGCAGAGGCTAATGGACGCGTGGTGACATTGAGAGCATTCTGAGAGGAAGACGTAAATATATCCACACTTGGACGACCTACGTGTTCGTCGTTTATGGGGTCGATATAAAGTAATGCGAAGTAGACTATAAACCAAACGTACTTACTGAACAGTTATCAGTGATTAAAACATGCAGATATATCGATTATGGTTGGCATCTTGTAGTCACCTGTGTTTCAACTACATCTAAGCCTGGACTCTGTGTTGTCAGTATTGATAGTGAAAACAAAGACGTTCAGCCAGGTATAATCCTACACAGCACATTACTCCAGAAAAAGTAACAGGACACGCCAGCTAGAGCACTGAGAAGCTTGCTGTCTTCTATTTGGGTTAGTAACTATGCCTGGGATATAAGTCTGTTGTTTCGTGCATGATCAGGATCTCTGTACAATGATCCGTCGGAGATAATTGAAACTTTAATTATGTGAGTTGCTCATTTAAGGAAAACATTAAAAAAAATACGCAAGACTAGAATGGGTGTTAGCATTATTTCATATCTGTGAATTCCTTGGGATTGTCTTACCGGGTAGACACTCGACAACTATGCGCACTGGTCACTTTCTCATGAAGTCTTTGATGAACAAACATCCCAACTTAGAATACAACGCACACACACACACATTCACCAACCACTTGACGGCCTAGTGGTCAGTTCAGTGTGTCAGCGTACTTCTCATTTCATTCTCTGATGGATAACAGTTCCCGTCAGAGTTGATCATTTTCGCTATACTTAGCTTAGGTAGGAAGAGGAGATTGAGAGTTAGTGGCACAGATAAGTCAATGTTCGTGTTAGTAGACGACAGGTGTAAGGCACTTGCTTACATTTTCATCACGCCATTACTATTATTATAATTATTGTGATACACGATACTTTCATGATTCTTAGAACTAAAAAAAAGATTACTGGATCTGAGAATGAATCGTCAATGCGGTAGTGTTATTTTTCAATGAGGACAGACAGTAGGGAAGGCGCATGACTCCATTTTCTGCAGATTCGTGCTCTCGTAACGCTATCTATCTCTAATTAAGACTGACACTCCCAACACATTACTAACTGTCACAAATTGCTTTGTCGCGGCTACACGGAGGCTTTTGCAGTCTCTCTCTTGATGTCATGAAAACCACTGGCTGACATCATCCTATCGAGTTATGACTCACCTTCCTTCTTTGTTTATTGCCCTATATATCTCTACACTTGTTCATCTTTCTTCTTCCTAATAGGGAGGGGATAAGCAGTAGTATCAAGTGGATGGTTGACAAGGTGAAGGCTAACGCTGAACACAGACCACCCAAACAACTGGAGATGGCGTAATGTTTCAATTCTCCTGTACAACAACAATAACAAAAGCAACAACACAAACAGCAACTACTACTACTATTTGGGCTTTCTGAAATTTGCAAAGGCGGAAATTGACTTGTATATGTATTTATTTCACACACACACACATGGTAACGATTCTAACAATATATAAATAAATCATAAATGCATCAACTTTTGTTCAACAAAAAGGAAAAAATAGAACTCTGTTCGTTATCTGAAACAATTTTTCTTAGGCTGTAGTACTACAGCAGCGCTTCATTTTCAACTTCTGGAGTCTTTCTCTCGATGCATTATCGAGTGTTATCGCGCTGAAAGGAAAAGTATATGTTTAGATTAGAAATTTTGAAAGTTAGGAAGGAAGGAAAGAATTCCGTATGCACACATATGCCTAGAAATAGCTGACTTTACAGATAGAAAAAAGGTCAAGGATGGTGAAATGAAAAAAAAACAAACAGATACCAATAGAATGTTTCAATGAACAACTTACTGGTAAGGCTTTGCTTTTATATCATTCTAGAGTAAGCTGTTTTGAATGAGATTAGTCTTTTACCTTCGTCAGATCATAAGAAACCAGTAGTTTAACCAGTTGAGGTCGGTGGCAATACCCGTGTATCGATCAATTTTCAGATCAATCAAAGATAACCTTGACGCGCTTTTCGATTAGTGTGCTATATTTGTTTAGTGACTTAAAACTCTTATTTGGCCAGAAAGTTGTGGAGTTTATTGAATGAAATGGATATAATCGTGTTGACTGTAAATACCTATAACAAACTGTTCAGTATTCTGTGAATCTGAAGTAAGACAATGGAGTCAAGGTAGACGCATTACACCGTGGCGTGTGTGTACTGATGAGCAGTTGTCTCTATCAACCATTATTGCTGGCTGTTAGAGATGGCCATTAGAAGTGAAAGGTATGAAAAACTATCGGTCTTTGGCCATGCGTGTCTGCATTCTATTTGACGTGTTAGGGGGTACAATAGGGTGAGCGATATTGAGGTTAAGCGTCGAATGTTAAGTAAGAAGGGGAAATCAGTCGACGAGGTTGTGAAGTTACATCGATTGAGAGAGAGATGGTTAGGACATGTGTTACGTATGCATGCCTAGCCATCCATCGCCTTCCTCAACTACGGGCAATGTTAGCTGGCATAGGATGGATTAGGTTGGAAAAGAGCTAGTGGTTGTCAAACCAAAACATGGCCTCACCAGTCAGTGAAATCCACAACAGTTCGTTGTGGATATCCGTGAATGTTACCGTAAAACACTGTGGGATTTTATCAAAATAAATTTTATCCACAGTGGAATGTCGTTCACAACCTCATGAATTGATTTCCCCTGCTTAATTACTTAATACTTGACGACTAACCTCAACAATTACTCACCTTATTATACCATCGAACACAAGAGATAGAAGGGAGAGACCTACGATCGAAGACAGCTAGTCTTTTCATGTCTTCCACTCTCAATGACCATCCCTCATAGTCAACAACTGGATATCATGTCTACACCAGAGATGATGCTTCTTGTTGGTGAATACCACATGAGCCTTTTGTATCCATTCTGCGATTTCGTCAGCGATCAACCCGCTGCAACTTCTTGAATAAGCGAAGTCCTCAGCACACTACTTATCTTTAAGCTAGGAACAAGTCAACGTAGTCCAGTCCTTACATTTGACAGCACGAGCGAATCGCATGCCAGACATTCGAAGATTGCTGCTTCTCCTCTTCGCGGTGTTCAGAAGACTCTGCATTCTATCAGCGTCTTCAGCCAGGAGGGAGGGCTATATCAACCGCATATATGTCTAAGTCAACAAGAAATAAGTCTTTGAAGTGTTCACATAGGCATAATTGAAATGTTCAAATTAGTATCCCCCCCAAAAAAGCCAACTAACTAGCTAACTTACTCTAGATAATCTCCATACTGATTTAGGCAGTTTGTTAAAGCCCAACAGAATGTTGCATATACACGCCAAGGTAGGCTAGGATCAGAGGCGAAACGATAATAGGCGAATTTGCATTGATCATTTGTATACAATGCAGTGTTCAAGGATTGTTTTTTATTTCTTAACGAAGTTTGTATATCATCATCATTATTATTATCTGTTGATGATGTGCTGCTCGTTGTCTGGTTATCAGTAGTAGTAGTGGTAGTAGTAGCAGTAGCAGTAGTAACTGAACCATTCATCTTTTCTTTATACTGATTGGTTATTAAACCGACCAACTTCAGGTGCTTCTCAACGGCCTTGGGAAATACAGAACAAGAAGAAGCACACAAAAAAAACAAGCATTTCACTACATCGATATAAGAATAAAACTTGTGCACTGTGGTAGAGTGTGATTCCATTATGGGTAAATTTTGTTTTGATAAAGTTTCACAGTGTTATACAGTAATGTTTACTGATGACCACGTTTCGAGCACAATTTATCACTGCTCATAATCATATCAAGGTAATCACACGACCTCCTAAATTCATTTATATAATTCCGTTGTTTTTCACTTGATTTGATTGGTAGTATTATTTTCCATATTTCGGGTATGAGTGATGATTCATTCCTATTGCATGTGCTGGGTGTAGATTCGATGAACAAAGATTCAGTAATCAACCTCTCTCTCCACCAACCTAGATTACTTTTTAGAATTTTAACCCTCTACCACCCTATTGTGTGGTTGTGTGTTAATGCGTGCAGTGTGATTGCTGAGCTTATTTCTAAATTACTTATCTTCTCTGGGTCAACCATTCTAACCTTAGCTAAATTCTTATGTTCTGACAATCTGACTATTCCTGACCTACTAGTTTGACCTATGTAGTTGACCTCACAGTCATTGCAGGGTATTTTGTAAATTATATTATTTTGTCTAATTGGGTCCACTGGGTCCTTTAACCTAAAGAGCTTGTCTCTGAGTGAGTTTGTAGGTTTAAATGCCACCCTAATTCCTGCTTTATTTAGAACCCTACGTAGGGTCTCAGATGTCCCCTCTTTATATGGTATAACTGTAGATGACTTATATTCTTTCTTATTTATGTTATTATTACTAGTTTCACAATTATTTTTATTTTTCTTTTGGCGTTTTTCAATCTTCCTAGTGAATTTTAGTGGATAGTTATTTAAAACCAACGCCTCTTCTATCTGTTTTATTTCATCATTTAGGTCTTTTTTTGTGCTACTTAGTGCCATTGCTCGGTTTGTTAGACACTTAACTAAGCCTGCCTTAACAGTTAAAGGATGAGATGAATTAAAGTCTAAATATCTACACCCAACACATGCAATAGGAATGAATCATCACTCATACCCGAAATATGGAAAATAATACTACCACCAATCAAATCAAGCGATGAAAAATAATGGAATTATATAAATGAAGTTAGAAAGTTGTGTGAGTAGTGCCTTGATATGATTATGAGCAGTAATAAATTGTGCTCGAAACGTGGTCATCAGTAAACATTACTGTATAACACTGTGAGACTTTATAAAACAAAATTTACCCATAATGGAATTTCACTACATCATCAATGACGTCTATATATAACATTTAGCAAGTGTCAGAACAAGACGAACAAAAATCTTGACACATAAAATGGATTAGAAAAATATTAAAAAAATTAGGCACTTTAAGAGAGCACTGTATCAAAAGCGAATAAAATGTTATATATATTATGATAACCGTCTGCTGTTTTCAGAACTATTTCACAGACGACAAATATATAAGGGACAGTTTACTTTCCTGAGTGATTTCATCAATACATCGGATTACATGTATACACACAAATGAGGATTGTCTTTTTTTCACTATGGCAACCCCACACACTAGTCACAAGCTTCACTTCATTCCTAAATATGTTCCAAGTGGAAGAACATACGGCCTTGAAGTTTCAGTAGCAGATAGTTCTGTTGTTATTACGGGGGGAAATGAGGATGCCAACTTCACGCAGAAACCTCCTCTATACTCCAGGAATACTACCATCGGCTAAGCGAGGTTTCGGAATGCGTCGGCGGGGAATGTCCAACTCAAGACCATGTGTGTGTGTGTGAATGGACTGGTTTCAACGTAGATCTTTGCACAGATGTGCAACAGTTCGAGTTGCCACACTCCCTCCTTGTAGCATACAAAGCAAGAGAAGAGGCAAAAAGAATAGTAATATAGGAGACCACGCGTATGCTTCCACCAAATAAAATACTGATACGGTCAAACGATAAAGTTTTGATGCTGTCATCAAATAACACATAAAAGCACTTATTGTAGCGACATCAAACTAACTTTTTTTTATCAAGAACCAGTTATTGAACGCTTAACAAAAGTACCTAATATCAGATAAGAGAGAGAACATTCATCTTCATTGAAGAATATGTGTTTCCAATACATAAGTTAGAAAACTCCGATTGTAGCTCATAATCGAACAGATGGATAAGAAAGAAACATGAATTTGCGCTTGTTACCAGTGCAGCACCTGAATAGTGTTCAACACACCAAACTTCAAGCCTTTCATAGTTCCACTTCTAACAGTACCTTCTTTGCTGGTTTATTCAAAGACATTGTGAAATCGACGATACCTACGGTACCAGTTAGTATTATCGAATAAGGTAGGCGATTTACTTAGAGTAAAACGTTATCGGGTGGATAAGTGATCTCTGCTTACGCTTCAAAGGTCCAGATAAAAATGAAATTACACTCATTAACTGAACAGCATTAACAACCAAATCCATCGGATTTAGGAACTGTGTGGTCTAATGTCCGAGATACTCAATTTCATAGAAAAAAACCCAACTCGTGAGTTCGAAATCTATTTTATCATCATAGTTGACACTATATTCTATGTCAGGTGAATGTAAACGTAGCTGGGTGAGTAATATTCCCATTTTTTCTCTAGTAATCTAGTAAGGAGTTACAAGCCTAAGGTTGACGATTACAGTGGGAAGTCATTTGTATGATTGTTATGAGAAGATTCACTTTAGATCACACAGTGGAGATCGTCTTTTTTTCTTCTAGCTTTGTATAGGTTAGAGAGTCGAATTCTATCCAGCACCAACTTTTGACACAACCTGCCATCATTATACTACTTACTGTCAGTCAGTTTCTAAATTAAAAAAGGGTTTTTACCTGTGTTGAATTCATTGCTGTTTCCATACGATTACCACCCATATTCAGTGGAAACACCCGTGTGACTAAGTGGGGTGGGGGTATGTGTTCATATATGCGACGAAAAAGGTAAGTCAATAATAAGTGTTGCTATTTCAGAGGGCCGATTTCCGTAGCTCTGATGTGCCAATAATATTTTAACAGCTTTTGAACCCCCCCTCCCCAATATTATGCGCTAGCTAGTCCTCCTTGTATCGTCTGTGATTGGAAAGAGTCAGTTGTGTTATTTTATCATAACTCTCTTCATCTTCTTTTGTATTATAGCACTGCAGCATCATATTTTGGTTAATGGATATCTTGTGGTGATGATAACGGTAGCATTTATTATTAACAATAATAAGAATTGCAAAAAAAAACATACCTCTAATACATCCGCAAATAGTATTAAAATCTGTCCCAAAGACTGTTGAAGTGAACCATATGGATCTTCTTTATATGCAGCTAATGTTAAACAGGCTAAAACTTCTGTTGCCCATATAATAACTTGACCACTTGTTTGTACTGTTACTTTACTGGAATTTATGCAGCTTGCATAGTCAATATCTTTTGCAGTCGCAAAGAGATGAGCTGTCGACGCATAAGCCATATCTGATGTCAATAAATTGGCAACCGGTGTTTGAGAAATCCATGAAGACACCTGTTGATGATAATTAGACGTTGACGACATTACATGTTACACATTTAGCATTTCAGTCTGACAACAAAACATACATAACAATTCAACAGGACTAAGAATATGTGAACGTGATGACACGACGGGTAAGATTTCCAGGTATATATATATATATATATATACATATCGGTCAGTCGGTTTTCGACATAGAACTTTGCACATATGTGCGGCAGTTCAAGTCGCCACACTCCATGTAGCACACAAAGCAAGAGAAGAAATGCATAATAAAGACAGTAAACAGAGGTGTGAGACAAAGGAATAGTAATAACGAAGAACAATATAGTTCCATTGGAAATCATAAGTCACAAGGTGTGGATGCATCTGCGCCATCCATTGAGAACGATTTTGAGCCATGTCACCAATTGTTTCCAACCATTGGTCTTTACCGTTCCGAGGACCCCAACCAGCAAGTCTACAGCTTCCTACGTGGCCTTCCGAAATGTAAGCGTTAAAATTTTGTTGGCTTAAGTTTAGCATGAATTTACACGCTTTTCTGAGCACATTCAAACAGGAAACTTATGTCTAAAAGGGATGCAGATATTCGCAAAGTACAGCTACTAGGCGCACCTTGTGGATACGGCTAGTTTCGTCGAGATTTTTAAATGCTTCAAAAAATATTAAATATACAAATGACAGGAAATGTATTACGATTTGCTGAAGCGATTGCAATCACACCTCATGCATACGGAAAGAGAATGTGACCAACAATCGCTCACTCTCCTGGTAACTCTATTTTGACTACACTGATTAGGCATCCATAATATTAGTGACTTCAGATCACTGAGCAAGTTTTCAATCTTATAAAAACTATGACCTGTTTGAGTTGCTATGTGACCATACAACCTGAAACTGTTCACTGGATTTTTCTGTTTTCTGTATTCTTGCCTCCCCCCTGCTTTTCTATTTTAAAAGCATATAAATTGATGGTAACTCAAACTAAAATTTGTGTAATGCTTGCATTTCGGATTCGTTAACCGTTTATCAAAGCTTCTCTACTACCACTGAAACGCTGGATAATGTTATTATCACGTTTATAACCATTGTAGTTTCAGGTAGTTTGCAACTGATGAGAGAGAACCTGTGAAATAGAATGATGATATCATTTCATATTGGTGTTTCGTTCTTTATCGAAATTTAAAACTACGTTTGACTGTCAAGCAGTTGATGGCTAGCACTACACTCTACACTTCTATCAGGAATTGATTATCATACGAAGACATAATCCAGCGTTTGGAAACAACTGTTAGTGTACAGCAAATACTCAGGCTGGATACCAAGCAACTTACTATAGAAAACAGTGTGCGTCCAGTATTTATGAAGTATTGAACGATTTTAGAGCCGACTAGTTGGATATTAGACTTTGATTCATCAGTAACCGGAGAGGGTTTGGTTGTAGTTCTGTCACGGTGACGTACTTGTGTCATGAATGATGTTGGCAGGTGTTGTTTGTATTTAATATCCATAGTTTTGGGCCAGAGAGCTAGAAATATGTACGGGGAAAGTTTAAATGAGCATACACACTTCTTTAAAATAAAAATTGTAATCTACCAATAATTGTTTTCAAACAACACGTTTGTAGCACTATAACATATATATGAGAACGAAACCCCTCTCGGTAATTATTTTGGGCAAACAGATTTCGTCATTGTAGAGTAGCATTCATTTCATAGTAGCTTAAGATGCCAACTTTATCTAGATATTTTGAAGATAAAAAGGCTTAGTTAGAGTGACGTCACATACAATTGAGTATATTCGGCACGTGATAACTCCCACTACACACTAACATACCGAAACAACCAAAGAGACCTCACCATTGGACGAAGTTGAACAGTTAGGTCTTTCTATTCGTTTAAATTCTTCAATACGAACATAACGACCTAAAGGAAACAAATGACTCTACCGACAATTCCTGCTTATGAAAGCGGCGTGGATTGATCCTGTATTAACGGTTACTTACTTCAGTTTGTATAACTATTAAGAGACGGCTGTCATCTTAGGAGATGTCAACCAGCGGTATCCACCAGAGAATTGCATTACTATACAAATTATTGCTCAGAGGGCACATGACTGATTTGAAGCACATAGGAGACGTATTCACGTTTTGTAAATACGCCAAAAGACTCTTGAAAGGAATACCACCTAGAACGCGTGCAGAAAAATCACCAACAACACGCACAGTACTAACAACAAACACCAATGCTTCGACGAAAGCGGAAGTCTTGAGTGCTAAAACATAGCTGAAAGCCAGCCGGAAGCAATGAAAACGGATCCTGAGACCTCGGAGGATATCATCACGTCATTACTGCAGAAAGTTTGAAAGGAAGGAAAAACACCCATCTCTAAGATGAAAGGTTGCCTTGTTAAACTAACAACACTACAAACTACTTCAAACTATTATCAACTTCATTCAACAGCCATATAATGTGATGCTACATGCCAAGTGGTTCACTACGGAAATTTCAGCGGAACCTTTGAAAAGTTAAGATAGGAGTAAGACCAGGCTGCCTACTATCATCAATCATATCGCTTATTTATGATGGAGTGGATCATGCAACAGACTGTGGATGGATGCCGGAAATACGCTGAACTGATCAGAAGGCTCGGGAAGATCTGGGCTTCGCCAACGTGCACTCGAAGATCTATAGGCGACAATCAACAAATCGTCAGAAGCAGAGAAGACTGAACTTCAAGTAAACACAGAGAAGACAAGGGTGATGAAAACAGCTGACTATCAACAAGTGCCACTATCATTCACTGACCAAGAAGAGCATCCTTTAAAATACAGAAGGCACAGATGACGATGTCGAATGGAAGACACACCTTCATTACTCTTAAATCAGTGTGAAAATCTGTCGCACTCTAATTGAGGAGAAAGATTTGGATTTTTACCACTAGTATCAAATCAGTTATTGTCTCTACATGGTCCGGATACTTAGTACCAGATTCACCAAAAGCATTTCTAACAGTCTGTTGAAGACTTTCATCAACAGCCATCTTTAATTGGTAGATGGTGACTAGCAGTGGAATCCAGGATAACGCGCATTTCGTCCTGTTTTGGTCTCGTCACTGGATGTACCTGCATTCTCCAGTGAGTGATGATGTTCCCACCGAGGCTCGAGCCCAGTGCCCGTAGTTTCAAACGCCAAATAGTTATCCACTAGACCACTTGGGCCACGAACACCTCTTGTGCAACGGGTCATACTGTTTGGCCCAAGCAGTTTGGCTAAAAATCTTTCCAATTCTTTAAAACTCACGTGTACCCAAGTTGTAAATCCCACGATTATTTGAAATTAGAACGTGTATCAAAAACTGATCAATTAACCGGATACATAAGTTGCTTATTTCTTTCCATAACACAGGCCTACCACCTAATCAAAAACAAAAAAAAATTTCAAATTATTCATTATTATCTGGTAAAATTCAAGCCTGAAGGTGTTGACTAGGTGACTGATGAACAAATAGACGAACACGCTTATAAACTGCACAACAAATGCAAGGTTGTAATTCAACAATTAATGTACTTCACTCCCAGATGACTGAAGAACTTATTATTATGACTGTTTCCTTTAATTCCTAGAGGAACATAGGGCTTCAGCTACACGCATCCGTTGCGTTCGGTTCTCTGCCAACGTTTTCACCTGGCTACACATCTGCCCACATGCTTTCACCTCCTCCTCCAAATCAATGTCGAACTGACAACCAACTCGCCACTTCCCATTCGAGTTCCACTCGAAAGAGAGCCTGGCGTGTGATGTCACTCACTCGATGGTTTGTTTTCTCAGAGTATGGCCAATCCAGCTTTATTTTTTCTGCATATTTGTTGCACAATTGCTTCCTACTGGGTTAGTTGGTTGGTTCGTTCATTGCCAGAGATCCCTCACACTACTGCTGATCTTTTCTGACCGGCCATCTGATCTCAAGTAGTACTGAGCTGTTGAAGATGTGTAGCTTGTTCGAAGTGGCCTTCGTGACGCAGTGCCAAGTCTCTGATCCGTATGTTAAGTAGCACTGACTTCACATTGGAGTTGAAAATCGGGACCTTATTTTTCATGCTGAGCACTGCTGTTGACCTCCACACAGACTTGAGAGTAGTGAAAGCTTGCCTTGCTTCCCTAATCCTCGCTTTGATGGTATCCTCGTCAGTCCCGTCCACCTGTAGTTGATACGATGCTTCCCAGATAGGTAGGTAGGTGAAGGAGGTTGCTTCCTTAAGATTTCTCCCATATATGCTGATTGTTTTCTGTTGTTGTTGCTGTTCGCCAGAAATCTTCATCACCCACATCTGTTTTCTCTATGTTCGCCTGAAGTCCCTCCCATCTTTGACGCTTCCTCTGCCAACTTGTTGCTTTTCACTTGCATATCTTCCAGTTAGTGAGAAATCAGACATATATAACCGGCGAAGTCCAGATCCTCCAAGTTCATTAATTTTGTGTGGGTCAATTTTATGGGTGTTTCCTCGTTGCCCGCTGTCTATTACATTATCCATAATTGTCGGTGGCACCCCATAGTAGCGTAGTAGTTTCCAAAGCACTTCTCGATCGACGCTGTCAAAGGCCTTTTCAAAGTCGATGAAGTTGAGATAGAGAGGTGACTGCCATTCCAAGCTTTGTTCAATGATGATCCGTAGTGTGGCGATCTGATCAATGCATGACTTGTTTCTCCTGAATCCAGTCTGTTCCAGTCGAAGTTTTTCATCCAGGGCATGTTTGATTCTCTCCAGGATGATGCGGCTCAGTATTTTGCTTGGGATGGACAGGAGCATAATTCCGAGCCAGTTCTTGCATTGACATAAGTCTCCTTTCTTTGGTAGTTTGAATAGGTATCCTTTCTTTCAATCCTCAGGTACTTTGCCTTCTTTCCACACCTTCTCCAGTAGTGGCATCATCAAGTCCGCTGTTGTCTGTGGGTCCATTTTCAATGCTTTTGCTGGGATTCCGTCTGGTCCTGCTGCTTTTCCAATGTTCTCGTTGGAGGGTTGATGTCCAATGGTAGTTCTGCTTCCGCTGTTGGCATAATTGGGCGCGTTGCAGGTGGCGGTTGATTGAGAAATCTTTTGAAGTGTTCAATCCGGTTTCGTTTGCTCCACCTCTTTGGTTGATAGCTTTCCAATGTCATCCTTCACTGGCTTAATTTGTGTTGATCTCTTCCGCGATAGGAACCTAGTTGTTTGGTAGAGTGTTGCGAGGTCTCCTTTGCCTGCAGCTTGTTCTGCTTCACTTGCCATGGTTTCATAATATTTTTTTGTCTTCCCTGGCACTCTTCTTTACTCTTTTGTTCAGTGTCTTGTAGCTTGCATTCAAATCCTGTTTTTTTTTGCTCGTCGGTGCACTGGAGAATCTTTTGTTTCACCATCCCTCTCTCTTCTATCAGTCTCCAAGTGTCCATAGTGAGCCACTGTTTGTCCTGCCTCTCCCTTCTGCCTAGAACTTCCATGCAGGTTTGACTCTACACTGTTTTCAGTTGTTCCAGTGCTTTTCGACGCTGACCTCTTCGCTAGTGTTGATTTGTGTCTCGGCTTTGTTCTTTATGCTTGCAGTGAAGATGTCCTTTGTGTCCTGGTCCTTCAGTTTTTGAGTGTTGAACTTGGCTTGTGGTCTATCTGCAGCTCCTGTTTCTCTGAAAGCTTTTGATTTGAATTGTCCCTTGTACGAGATAGTGGTCTGAGCCAAAGTCTGCTCCTCTTCTTACTTTCGTGTCCAGTAGGCTGCGCCTCCACTTTCTTGAGATGGAGATGAAGTCAATTTGGTTTTTGGTTCGCCCATCTGGTGACACCCATGTAGCCTTGTGTTTGTATACGCTGCCACCAATCACTAGTTCATTGAAGGCGCAGAAGTCGGCGAAGAGTTCTCCATTTTTATTCATTTCTCCGAGAGCTTCTCTACCCATGATGAGTTCCCTTCCTGTGTTGTCTGATCCCAGTTTGGCGTTCATGTCTCCCATTAGTATTTTAATGTCGCCGACTGGAGTATTGTCCATTGTTGCCTGTAGAATTCTTCTTTCTTTTCGAGGTCTGCGTTGTTTGTGGATGCATAATATTGTATAATTGTCACTTTCCTTCCTTTTGAGTTGAATCTGGTGGTCATTATCCTGGGTAAGTTTGTCTCCCATTGTATCAAGGCCTTCCTTGCCGTTGGGGACATCATGATAGCCACAGCTGCGGTGTGCTCGTGGTTGTCTTCTGGGTGACCGGAGTAGATCACTGACTCTCAAGTCGACAATTTTGTTAGCCTACTCTGATTCCATCTGCTTTCGCAAATTACCAGTACTTGAATATCATATGTCTTCATATCGTTTGCAATCTGGGCAACTTTGCCAGTTTCATACATAGTGCGGACGTCCCATGTGTCCACAGAGACTTTTTCATTTGTCGCAAGGACACTCATCGTATCGAAGTTTCTGTAGCAGTTTTGTTTACATGGTGGGGTTACTAGCCTCACGCCTGATAATGGATTTAAAGGAGAATCACTTTGTTAAAAACATTTCCCATAAATTACCTACTCACCTACTGTGAGATAAAAGGTTTCAGTCAGAGGAAAACTGTGTGACTGACAATGATGCAGTCTAAACATTACCAAAATTGTCTCTCATGATCTTACCAATTATCCTTTGTGACCTGTACTCTGATGTATTTGTAACTCCCAAAACACAAACACTACAACTCACTCATTAAATCATTCATCTTGCCACATAGCCAATACACTTATTTAATTGCTCATACTTATTGACTATTAATTACAGCTATAATTATGACAAATCGTCGCTTTTGTTACGTCCCTCTTTCGCGAAAAAAGTGTGTATAAATGCAATTCGTCAAAAATAGTCTCTCTTCGCTGGACTACTTATTTCGTTGTTTTCACTAATGCCTAGACGTGGATTATTCATCAATAATCTTTCAAGTTTGTCAACACGGTCACATTCCAGCCACATTGTTTATATGGGTGAAATCACAATTCCACTGCTGAAGATTTACAGGAGGCACCAACAGAGTGCTTACTACTGATAACAACAGTAACTGAATAAACCTTGTTTACAATTCAGCTTTCACATTTAGTTCACATTTAGTTACATATATATATATATATATATATAATAGAGATGAGTAGCTCAGACAGAGGAAACACCAAAAGTGCCAGGGAATTCCTAGAAGCCTTGTACTCAAACGAAAATGCTATTAACAAACACGGTAAAGATGGTTACCGGGAGAGGCAATTATATCACTCATGAAGAAATTTAAATCATTTCACTTTATGCTAAATATTACGCTGAAGATGTTGTCCAGAAGGACGACGAAAGCTCCGCAACTAAACCAACCAGCTTAGAGAACACTATTAATTATATATATATAGGCTAGATGCTTATTAGGTACTAATCCACCCATAAAACAGATATAGTTAGGATTGTAAAACTCAGATGCTTCTGGAGTTATTAGCAACGATATAATAAACGTACCTATATGACTGAGGGAAAATATAGATGATCTGACGGATTGACTGGTAGCCACCAGGTCGGCCAATCTTTCAAAAACCAAGTGCTACAAAGTTATTTACACGAAAGTTATCTTACTTGTTCTATTGCATCACTGGAGTCGGTTAGGATCCCTTGAACAGAAAGAGAAGGTTCGATAACGGATAACAAAGGGATGTTAACAGGCTGAAAAGTGTTAAATTAAGAAAATGTAATTACCTTCAAAAACTGTGATTTCAAGATGTCAATCGCACAACTCCAACAGAAATGCAGGTGGAAGGTAGTAAAAAACATTAACAGGAGTAGTCTTTTGTCTACAACCATCCAAATGAAGGGCACACTATTATATAAACTGTTTTAGCAACAACTTCACATACTTCTGTGAAGAGCCAAGAAAATGGCTAGGGCACATTGCACACAACAGTATGAAATACAGCATCCTACCAACAGTTGTGAAGAGACGTGTCACCGCATGTTCTTTCGCAATGGAGAATAGGCTTTCCTGTTGTATAAAAAATAACAGTATTTTGAACTTACTGCAGGATAACAGTAGTTAAGTGTGAGTTTATTGAGAGTCAGAACGGTAAGACAAAATATTAGACCCATAAACGCTCCACATGAAGTGAGTATATACACTCGCGGATTAATCGGTGGGCTAAACACATTTAAGGATTATTAGGATGACATTACAAGTGGTTGTATTCAAAAATAGATGAATATTCTTCAGCGGCCAAAATCTTCGCCACGACTAGACTGTTAAAAGCACCCAGAATAATGCCTGAGGCAAGTATTTTAAGATCACACCACGTCAGAAATGAACCGAAAATCTGAAAAGTTTTACCAAAGATACGGTCCGTTACTGAAGAGTGATTGCAATAAGTAACTATACCTGACAACCTGGATCGGAACAGTGTGGTGATAGCGCAGGTAATCAAGCAGTTGTACATTATCCATACGATTTTGGACGTGAAGAATACATCAAATAATGTATCTAGAGTCAGGCTAGTGATTGAAAAAATCTGTAATACCTGTAACCCAATACCATGGTGAGTTATAGGTGATATTCTGGAAAAATGCCAAAAGTACCAATACCGAAGTACTAACACCACAAGATTGAAAGCATGAGATACGGGACCTGAAATAAAGCTCCTTAACCATAATTTGAATAGGAAGGGAACTAACTTGTGTTAGAGACATGATATCTTCACAACCTCTCCCGAACTCGACAGTCACGGCGCCAAAACAGGTGTGACGAATAACGTGATAACCGTTGACAAAAATGACCTTCGGGTTAAAGTTATCAATATTGGCATTGAAACGCTGAATCAAAGTAACAAAACAATGAAGACATCCTAACAAACTAACAGACGTTTTTGCGATAAAGAAATCAGACCACTTCGAATTATCGTTTTTCGTTATTTTACATTGCCTTTATGGATTTTTTCAAAGGAAATGCTTTATTAGATCACATTAAAAACAAGAAAGATGTAAGAACGAAGAAATAGTTGCCTTCATTACGAAAACAGGACTTTCACCTTTCACAATGCATGCGGAGAGCCAGTATGGAATATATTCTCTTAAATAGTAAGGAAGTGTACTGAACATCAGGACAGTTAGGATTTAACACTACCTATAAGCTTTAAATAGTCATAAATGAAACTGAGTTGATTGAGTGGGAAGAAATAAATGGAGAGACGATCGTGAAATGGAAAGGTACTGTGTTTAACTTCGCTTGCTTAATTTTACTAACATATTAGCGGTTCTGCTTTTTTATTTTTCAGATAATGGCTATAACCCCGCCAACCATTCCACATACTTCGATATTTTGGTGAAGTGTAAATTAAGAACTTTCTAAACAGTTGGCATGTTACACATGCTGTCACAAAAAATGCATTTAATTTTTCATGCAGTAAAGAGTGAAAGATAACCTGTCTGCATAAAAGGAATTACCGTAAGCACAATACACAACTTCTTCGAAAAATGGGACATGTTTATCTTATCCAAAAAGACAAGTATGAAGGTGCCCCGGTAACCTCGCAGAACTTGCTAACTTTCGAGCCTCTTCAGAGGTTACAATCGCTTTTCCAGTCTTTGTTGTCTCTTCGAGAGATAGTGTGTATTCATCCAGTTGTGTATCATTGGTAATGTAGCGGTAAATAATTCCCCAAAATTATTGACCACAGCAATCAACATTGGATGCTGACCCTCACTGTTTAAGCCAACTTGTTTAGTTAAAGGCTTCAGATCGAGCATCCACCCCATTTGGTACTCCGTCGTGTCACTTTCGTCACGGTCCCTAGCTAACTAAGCAATCATCTCGCACTTCGATTCGGTCCCGAAATATATCTCGTAATTTAGACGATCGATTTTCGTGTTCTGCTTTGCCTTCGGTCTACTCGGAACAAATACTATAGAAGTTGTGGATATTAGATCTTGCCTTAGTATACTTCGAAATATCCGTGAACGTCAACACCCTCAACCTGTAAAGTAACAACCGATTCAGGTCTCACCGGATTCCCCCCTAACTAGGCCGGTTTTAGATGACTGCTGGAAATACAGTCTCCACGGCCTTTTTTGTCTAGAATAAAGAATTTTTCCTTGCGTTTTATGACTTTGTATGGTTAAACATACGAAGGCCAGAGTGGGCGACGTTCAGTGTCACGATAAAATACACATGGATGAGATAAAACGCTTATAGACGGACGGTAGCTAGCTTAACTAAGCCAAATCGCATAGGTGGCATGATCTATTGCTGACGAGAAAGTGAAGGGCAAAATAGCTTCGCCTTGGAAGTCATAGTTTTGTTCCATGTCTTGGCAGAGTCACCAACACCGAATTTGAAGATGTTTCATACACCGAAAAGGGCTAAGCTTAGTGAATCAGTCCAGTGTGAATTGTTTGTGGCTGCTAGCCCAGCCCTTACTTGAGAATGTTCTACCATATCATTTGCTTGAACGTGATAGGTGGTTGTTCTGAAACTCACGCTTTCGAATCCTGAAAGATTGGCATCCAAAACTTTGTGGCCCATCTCACCTCAAAATCGCGTGCGACTATTTCTTGGTGCTATCTTGGGGCATCAAATATAACGGCCAATGAGGGTTGAGGCATGCCTACACTCATGAAACTCCAGGAGGGTTCCAACCAGATCTATATGAGAGGGGAAAAAACGCGCACGTAAGGTAATAAAAGTGCCAAGGAGCTGTCAGTGGTGGTAAACATCAAGTGGACGTTCAGAAGACCTTTTAATTCAAGCCAGTTTCTTGTTCTTTGGAGGCAACAATCCCTTTCGGGCTTAGACTTTTGCTCGATGACTGAAGACCAAAGCAATGCTATCAGAAGTATTAATGTGTATTATACTGACATTTTGTGTATTGATCGTGGCCAACTGTTAATCATATGGTCAAGCTGCTATGTAACTAACTCACAATATTGACTTACACTTGGTTGATCAATAAATCTTCGACACACGTTCGTCTTCTATTACCGCTTGCGTTGAAATCGAGTTGACTGTTATGTACGTTAGACAGTATTCTGAGTTCTGGAGAGTTGTCCTGTGGTTACAGCAAGTTTTCATGATACTTTTATTGACAATGGCTTTGATGCGTTTTATAACTTCTCAATTTTGACCTGGTGTCCTACTTCCTTATTTATACCAGGCCAACGAAACCGATTAGTTATGGGCTAGACATTAGTTTGGATTTCTGGGTGATGTGAGCCATTCAGTATGTTGTAGACGTTACGTTGATACCTTTTAGGCACCATATGTCAAGAAACGCCTCCATAAATGTCGCAGAGTATAATGGCGCCGCACACGCCTAAAGATCTCGTGGCTTATTCCCAAGTTGTTGTCGGTAACTAGTGTTGAGTCTCGGTAGCCTTTTAACAATGATGAGCCGGTTTCACAAGGCCTTTTTGAATGAAGGAACGGATGCACGGCTGAGCATCTGCGACAGCGTTTTAGACCTCAGATATGTGGCGAATATCATATGCTAACCGCGATTATGTATTCTAGCTAGCGTGATTTTCTCAGGGAATACTTAACCGAATTTGAGTTCAGAGAGTACGTCAGTGGCTTGTGATCTGTGATAATTATGAATTCACTACTCTCCACTGAATATCTTAAGTGGTGTATAACATAGTATACAGCCAGGAGTTCTTTGTACTTTGCCTCCGGAAAAACACAGTTATTTACCACTTTTCGTCAACTAGTTGTTGAAGAACTGCACTGGTTGCAGTATCGGATGAACGAAATGAGATAGGTAAGGCTGCTGTTGGATTGTGATGCATGAGCACAGTGGCACCCACATGGGATTCTTTACCCAGACGGAATCATTCTTAACGGGCGATTGTGAGTCAGTTCGTTATCTCTTCGAGGCAGGTCTGTCAGCGGCTGAATTACATAGATACAGCTGAGAATGAACCGTCAGTATTTACTTGCCACTTCATTAAAAGTTTGAAATCTGTCCAGTGAGTGGATACCCTTCCAGTCAACAGTGTGGCCAAGAAGGTTCAGTGGTTCCACTCCTGTTTGGTGCTCCTGAACCTTGATGATAACAAGGGTGTTGCTTTAACCTACAGGCAGTCATGTTCGAATGTCGGAGATTGGTTCTCTTATTTGGACTTGCGGTGAAGCAGCCATCTAGGTCTGCGTATGCAAAACTGAGACCACAAAGTGTTCGAATATTTGTGCTGCATTCCGGAGACTGAATGGCACGCCTAGGAAATCTGACAGTTACAATGGCATGGTGATGGCTATTATCGAAATGTCTCATGATGCCATTGCAATTCGGTTGTGCGCCTTAACAAGTCTTTCTACGAAGAAACAGTTGCCCCCAATGCTGCCATCGGGTTGGGTGTATGCAGCAGTTTGTTTCAGCCTGGGACGGATTTGGCCTTCACCTTTCAGTAATAGCTTGTGGATTTTTGTTCGTCACTATCTGTTTTTAGGATCCTATGAGGTCGAGATTCCCATGGGCTTCTCAACGGTACGATAATACCAATAGTGAGCATAAGTCAAATCCCCTTGCGCTAAACTTATCTAGGAGGAAGCAGTCGTGCTTGGGATTTAACGAGTTTCCTGTGTTTGTGGTGTGATGCATAACACTGCTAGTTATGCATGAAATCTCATTCGAGGGACAATCAAACTCCGGGAGCTTGTTGACAATGGGCTGAAAAATTGAATCCACGAATATCTTCTTCTCATCCAGTTCCAAGTTCTAACCTACTTAGGTGACCCCCTGAATATGTAGTCTGGTCGTGCCGTCTACAGGTCGCCAGTGATGAACACTTACGAA